AGGGAGTGTGGCCTGCAAACGTGGGGGTGGGTGGGGGCAGAGGCTTGTGCGCCGCACGTGTAGGTGCATGAGCCGTGTGTCTGGCCTGCGCTGTGGGTGGAAGGTGTGTGTGTGACCTGACGATGTGGGTGGTGTGTCTGTGTGTGTGAGATGCTGCATTGTAGTTGGGAGAGCAAAGGCTTCAGAGGCAGCTCCTCAGCCCTGAGTCGGGATCCAGGGCCAGGTTGACCCAGGCAAGTCCCTTCCATCTTTGAGCCTAATTTTCAGCAAAACGGAGATGATAATCCTACCTGGCCAGTTGTTGGAAGGATTAAATGCCCAGCTGGGGGATAAGGTACTTAGCGGAGTTCCAGGAAAATTACTTCGTGAGTGAGAACTATTGTTATTCTAATTTTTATTCAGAAATGTCTGCAAGGGGTACACAGAAGTCCCTCCAAGCAGTGTGTGGTCTGCGTGCTTGGGAGTGAGAGACGCCATATATGGACGCTGGAGTATTGTCAAGTAGCCTCAGAAGGATAGGGGGCAACCGTGGGTCTAGAAGATTCTGCTCAAATCTCACCATCCTGCTTCTTGTCAGGTCAGCCAGGACCTGGAAAGCAGGAAGGGGAACCAGAGCAGGTGTGGGTGGCAGAGTGCAGTGAGAGACAGTGATGTGTGTCAGCTAGTGAGCGTGTGTGCGCACGTGTGCAAGGGAGGCCTGCGAACGGTGGTCAGGAGTACAGACCTGGTGCCCATCTGCCCAGGTTTGAAACCTAGCCATGTGACCTTGGGCAAGTCACTTAATCTCTCTTTTCTTGTTTCCTCCTCTTAAAAATGGAGATGATGATAATGATGATGATACCAGCTTCATAGGCTGGTTGAGAAATTAGACAAGTGGCTACCAGTAAAACACGTAACAGCACTGGCACCTGCTACATGATGTACGAACTAGCTCTTATTTTTATTTGCCAAGCAAGACTTTGTGCCAGGCCTGTGTAAAGGCTTTCCGTGCTTAAGCGCCTCAAATCCTCCCAAGTACTGGCATCAACCGCATTGTACAAATGAGGAAACTGAGGCTCAGAGAAGCCTAGCTCTGGGGCAAAAGGGCTGGTAAGTGGCAGAGCCAAGTTCCTAGGCCATGTCTATCCAGAGCCCCAGGTCTAAGAGCACTCTCCTAAGGGCCAGCCAGGTCCACCTGCCAGGTCCCATATGCCACAAACAGCACAAAACGCTGCTGTTGCCCAGGTTGGAGGGGGGGAGTGGGGAGGGTACTGCTTCCTGGCTTGGGTGTGTATTCGGGCACGGACACCACATGCATATGTGCATAGATAGTGCTCATAGGCATAATAATGGTGAAAGTCTGCAGGCTCCGGTGTGTACAGCCTTCCTGGTGCTCCTGGGTGCGGCCCATGCACATATACACGCAGCAGGCTCAACAATGCAGACCCTACCCAAACTACTAGTGGGGAGCACTCTTAGATGTGGAAGGGTTGCCCCCCAAATCAAGTGATTTCTCTCTCCTCATTCCACCCTGTCTGTGACTCTTTTCCCCTCCCCCAGCCCCCTTTAAAGCATACACTCAAAGCCCACACATAATGCCTAGCAATTTGTATGTGGTTAGTACAGACCACCAAGAAAAATGGTGAAATCCAAACACATAATCCTTCCTCCAGCCCTGGGAGCACCAAGCACAGAACGTGGTACATAGTAGACATTTAATATTAATTTTTTGAATAAATGAATGAGGCAGGTACTATCATGATGCCCATTTTAGAGATGGGAAGATTGAGGCTTGGAGTGGGTGCAGTGATTTCCCCACAATTCTACAACTGAGCTGGGATTCAAAACCCGGTCTTCAAAGCCCACGTATGTACTGTTGCACCCACTGCGGAGTGCTGGGAGCACATTAAGTGTTCTTTCCCTCTGGATGTTCAAAGGAGAGTCACATGGCTGGGCTGATAAATGGACAGTCTATCTGCAAGGCCCCCTATTCCAGAGATGGGCTCATCTAGCACTCTCCTCCCTCCCTCAAAAGCGCTGCAAAGCTTCCCACTGCCTAAGGATAAAGTCCCACTCCTTCCCCTGACATCAAGGTCCTTCACGGCAAGTCTCCTCAGGTGTCCTCATCTCCTCCCCCCTCCCGTGTGAGCTCCTCCAGCTGATCTGCTCCTAGACTTCACCTCCTGGCTCCATGATTCTGTTCCTGCCCCCTGGCCCTCACCATCACTCCACCCTGGAGTGCCCTCTTCCTATTCCAGCCTCATCGTTTTTTGGTCCTGTGGGGCCACCTGGGGGAAGTCTGCTCCGCCTTCAAGAGTACTCGCCCCTCTTTGGAGCTCCTTAGTCCTCAAGCCCCTGCCTCAGCCCAAGCCCACTTAGACTTAAATCTGTCACCAGGTTCACTTATATGGCGCTCCAGTCTTCCTGTTAGCCCATGTCTGACTCATCTCTATGCCTCATGCACTGGGGAAGGCATGGCACAAATTTGGGTACTGCATTAACCACAGAGAGAGTAACAAGCAGCGGTGAAATGGCAGGAGGCTGGACTCAAGCAGTGGACAATCATGGGTTAAAGCCCATTCCTTTCCCTTTCAAGATGAGTGACATTGGATGAGTCACTTCTCCTCTCTGACTCTCAGTTTCTTCATCTGTAAAATGAGTAAAATAGATTCTGAGCACAAATGCAACACTATGTGGCATCTTCCACATTCCCCAGTGCAGGGGCTCTGTATAACTGCACTTCTATATTTCCTGGGCGCCTACTGTGCTAGGCCAAACCTCCCAGCATATCACTTTATGTCATTTCCAGGAACACACCATGCTTGTTCCTGCCTCAGGACCTTTGCACTTGCGCTTCCCCACATCTTGGCAAGGTTGGCTCTCTCTTTATCATTATGATCTCAGCTCATTTATCAACTCCTTGACCACTCAGTCCAAAGTAGCTCCGTGGCCCCAAAACTCCCTATCCTATTACCCTGGGTATTTTCTTCATAGCTCTTACAAGCAATGATCTCACTTAACCACTTGTTGACTGTCTCACCCCAGAAGGCAAAGTCCATGTGGGCAGGCACAGGGTCTTGTCACTATTTCCGAATTTTCTGGAATGGTGCTGGACATGACTCAATTCATAGGTGTTGGCTGAGTCTCAATCCTTAGAACTAGGGAACTGGGATACAAGCCAGACCCTGGGCAGTACGTATGGCCTATGAGGACCCCTCTCTGTCTCCCCCAGTCTCTCGCTGGCCCCCTTTTCCATGTTTGTCTCTACAGACTGGGCACTCCTCTCCAGCTCTGTCCTTGGCTGAGTCATCTCAGTGGCGTCCCCAGGCCTGGCTCAGGGCCTGGCACGGAGGAGGAGTTGGGTAAATGTTTGTGGTGTTAAATTGGACCTGTCTCAAGGTCCTCACCGCCTCCACATCTGAGGAGCCCCAGGGAAGGGGCCAGCAAGGAGAGATGAAAGGAGGTTTCAAAGTTGGCCCTTTCAGTGCAGATAAAAGCAGGAGGAAAGGGAGGGGAGGGAGGAGGAAGATGGCTGAAGTGGTATGGAGAGTGTTATTGGAGAGGAGGGGAGCAGGTGGACAGGAGCACTGACCTGGGAGGCAAGGAGTCGGCTCCTACTCTTGGTTCTTAACTCACTGTAAGAGCCCAGGGAAACCGCGTCCCCTCTCTGGGCCTCAGTTCCCTGGCAATCATGAGTGATAATGCCTCCCTCAACCCCAGAGGTCTGGGGCCCAGCCAGAGGCTGAGGGGGAAGTTGAAAGACTGTGCCAACAGCCTGGGTGGAAGGGCGGTGGGGGAGTTCAAAGGCAGGGCGGTTTTGGCAGTGAGAAGGGTGCAGCCAACCCAGGGACAGAGTGTGAGCTCCTCAGCCTGCCCTGGAGGCCCGTCACACTTCACCTGTGCTGCTTCACCCCCTTAGTCCACTGTAGCTATCACAGTCCGCTCTTTTCCAGGCACGCCTACCACTCCTCTGCCTCCGTACGTCCGCACAGGCTGTTCCTCTACCTGGAATGCTTGTTCCCTCATATTTCCACCTAACCAGACCCAGGTACTCAGCTCAGTTCAATTCCTGACTCCTGTAGGACATCTTCACAGACCCCTGAGGGCATCTCCCAGTCTGGGAGCCCCTGGCAGTTAAGTAGGATGGCATCTTTGTGTCCTCACCTAGGGCTGCCACAGAAGGTTGCACAGGTTGTGTGTGCACTGTTCAGCTCCAAGAGAGCCATTCACACAGATGACGATGGGAATGTTACCCATCTGGACTTGTGTCAAACTAAATTCCCTTCCCACTCTCTCCAGTGCTCAGCACAGAGCTGGGCATACAGCGGGCTCAGAGATCATTCACTGACTGTGTACAGGGGTTGAGGGAGGAAGCAGGGGGCTCCAGAGACCCTTTCCCATCTGTCCAATAGTAGCCATTCCCTCCACCCTTGACCTCTTCCTCTGGATCAGTTTCTCCTACAATCCTTTTGCCTTTCTAGGCTATCTGACCTTCCAACAGAAGCCATAGTCAGGGGCTCCCCAACCCCTGCAGCTCCCAAACCCTTCCAGGGACACCAACAGTGCTGCAGCATCGCCTCCCCTCTGCCCTCCTGTCTCCATCCCTGCTCTGCCCCTCTCCCTATCTGTGTCTGTTTCTACACTGCCAGGTAGGTCCCTCTGTCTCTCTTAGCTACTCTTGTCCTCTTTCTACGGGCTCTCCTCTCTCTCAGATCTCTTCCTCTCATAGTTGGCTTCCCCACATCCCTATGAGTGTCTCTCTTTCTGCCTATTTTCTCAGTCTTTCTGCTTTTACATTTCATTCACTCACCACACGTTCAGTGAGTGTCCACTGAGTGCTGGGCATAGGGCAAGACCCTAAGGATACAGTGGTGAACGCATAGACATATGGACTCATGGAGCTTATCTTTTCATGGGAGAGGCAAACAAAATAAATAGAAAACAGGTAGTGTGCTAGATCGTGAAGAAGGCTATTGAAGACAAAGGAAAATGGGAAAGGGGATATGAACGGTTGGGGCTGGGGGTTGGGGTGGAATTGAAATTTTTAAAAGTGTGGTCAGGGGAGGCCTTGCTAAAGCCTCACTCTTGAGCAAAGACCTGGAGGAAGTGAGAGGACAAGCCATGGCCATGCTAAGGGAAGAACATCTGGGCAGAGGGATTAGCAGTTGCAAAGGCCCTGAGGTAGAGGTGAGCTTGGTGTATTTGTGGAGCTGTGAGGCCAGTGTGGCTGAGCAGAATGAACCAGGGGAAGGAGGGTAGTGTGTGTGTGTGTGGGGGGGGTGTCTGAGAGGTTTACAGTGAGTCCACATCACACAGGGTCTGGGGGTCATTGTAAGGGCTTGCTCTTTTTTTATTATTTGCTATTTATTATTGATAATCAATCGCTATTATCATCAATAGCTACTTGCTCTTTTATTCTGAGCCAGAGAGGGTACCTTTGGAGGGCTTGGGGCAGAGGAGGGCCATGCTCTGATTTACATTTGAGTAGTTGCAACCCGGCTCCTGTGCAGACTAGATTACAGAGGGGCCAGGACAGAAGCAGGGAGACCAGCAGGCAACTGTGATAATCCAGGCAAGAGGAAGAGGTGGCCTGGCCCAGGGGTAGGATGGAGGGGGTGAGAAGTGGTCAGATTCTGGATCTAGTTCTAAAATGGAGATGACAGAGTTTGCTGATGGCTTGGAGGGTGGCGTGAAAGACTGGAGTCGAGGATGTTGTCCACATTTTTGATAGAAGGAGCTGGTTGTTTTGTTTGTTTGTTTGTTTCCCGTGGACTGACCAGGAGCTCAGTTCTGAACATGAGTTTGAGGTGTCTAGTGGTGACCCAGGGAGTTGTTGAGTGGGACAGGTGGGGCCAAACAATGGAACTGGGGAGTCGCAGGCATATGACGGCGGGCTGCGAGCACTTGGGAGTGCGTGTGGACAGGGTGAGGGGGACCCAGCCTGAGGTCTCTCTGCTGTGTCTGTCACACTGGATTCTCTCTCCTTGTTTTGGGTGCCTTGTCTCTCAGCTACGGATTTCACTCGTGCTTCCTCTGTCTCAGAACTCCAGNCCCAACTTCTCCTTCCCTCCTGGCTCCCCCTCCCCCTCCCCCTCTGCCCGCAGTGTGTGCGTGGCTGGTGGCTGGATAGCAGGCAGCAGGCGTCGGCCCCGGGCGGGGGTCTCACCGGACGGGCCGGTTGGCGGCGTCGGGGTCCCGCGCAGTCACCACGCCGACCAGGGAGCCCACCTGCGCGTCCTCCTGCACCTCCAGGAGGCCGGAGGGCGGCTGGAACTCGGGGGGCTCATCCACATCGGTCACCGTCACACGCACGATCGCCTGGTCGCGGAATGTGCCCAGGTCAGCGAAGCGGGGGTCCACGAACTTGTTGAGGGCCTCCAGGACCACCGTGTGCACCGGCTGGGACTCGAAGTCCAGGCGCTGGGGAAAGAAGCAGAGGGCCCCTGAGTGGCCTGGCCCTGCTGATCCCAAGGCTGGGAGGTGGACCCAGAGAGGGGGGGGCTGGCCCAAGGTCACATGTAGACTCAGACCAACCCTCTCCTGTTGCAGGTAAAGAGAGCGAGGCCCCGCAGGACCGTCTAGCCTAGGGACACACGGCCACCCAGGGCTAAACGGTACTGACATCCTGGCTTTGGCTACTCAGCACAGTATGTTGGGGCATTCCATTAATTTATTAATCTACAAAGCACTTACTGTGTGCCAGTGCTTTAAATATATTAACATCTAATTTTACAACACCCCATAAGAGGCTTGTATTATCTCACTTCACACATGAGGAAACTGAGGTCCAGAAGTCTGTAACTTGCCCAAGGTCACTTAGCAGGCAGTCACTGGCAGAGGCAGGAGTCAAACACAGGCAGTGGGGCTCCCAAATCCTGGCCCTTACCCCACACGAGGAAAGGGCAGTGGCTCTGCTGCTGACCAGCTGCGTGTTTGCGGGCAATCTATTTAGCCTCTCTGGGCCTCAGTTCAGAGGATTAAATGAGATATTCCCTGGTACATATGGGACAGCAGCTAATGCGAGTTGAGCCCGATAAGCCAGGCTGCCTTAGAGCTTTCCTGGTGATCTGGTTAAGCCCATGCGGAGCCTTGCTTCCCATCCTGGAGTGCTAATGGGTGACCTGATGAATGAGCTTCATGGCTGTGTGTTGGCCCCGGCCTCTAAAGACAATGCCTTACAGCAGCGATTTTCAACTGGTGTACCGTAGGAATTTTTAAAACATGCAATACCTGACTGTTTAGTCAGGGGCACTGACCTCTTTTCCCTTAGACTGTCAAATAAAAAAATGACAACAGCCAACACAATAGCCGTCCCGTGTGAATCAATCAGAATTATACCCATTTTTTTTTGTCAGATCGGCAAAAATTATAATATGTTGTGTGGTGTGCCGCAGAATTTTAGTAATTAGTTTATGTGCGCCGTGAGATGAAAAAGGTTGAAAATTGCTGCCTTACAGCAAAGAGAAATTGCAATGGTGGGGCAGCAGGCACCTCAGTTTTGTGGTGGGGGAGCTATCTGAGTACAAGGGTGACTTTCCTAGAGATCAGCCCTGTGTGTAGGGACCCTCCCTTCCTCTCAGAACCTGCCACCCCCACTTTTTCCAGCAGCAAAGATTGCCACCTCCTCCCTCCCTCCTTCCTGTTGCCTGGGAAATCAGGATGCAGGAAGGCAGGCAGTGGCCTGGCCTGAGAGTGAGCGATGGGCTCTGGAGCCAGGTCATCAATCAGGCAGGTCTCTGCTCCCTGAGCCAGCACTGACTCCACAGAGACACCTTAGGTGCCAGTGCTGGAGCCGGTGGGAGAGGCCCTGAAGGGGGGGAGAAGAAAGGGGCAGCCTGGAGGTGAGAGCAAGCAAGCGCTGTGCTGAAGTCCCAAGGCTGGGAATGGAGCCTGATTCTGTTGCTCTGTGATGCTGTGCCTCTCTGGGCCTCCAATTCCCCATCTGTGAAATGGGCTCATCTTACAGTGAGATCAGAAGATTGAAAACAACATAATGCTTAAAAGGGTGGACTCTGGAGCCAGACTGCCTGGGTGCACATCCCTACTCTGCTTTGCAAGATGCATGACCTTGGATGCAAATTACTAAACTCCTCAGGGCCTATAAAATGGGCAATAACAGTACCTCAGAGAGTTGTTGTAGGGATGGCACGAGTTAATACATGCAAAGCAGGTGAAGGGTGTCAGGCACATTGCAAACACTTTAGAAGTATCAGCTATCATATTGTTATCCTCTGGGAAGTATGGTCACGCCCTCAAGGCCAGCTAGAGAGTGGGTACTTCCTGAGTGAATGAAGGGTCATCAGGGGCAGATGTTTCTGTGGGTCCCAGAAGGCAGAGCCCAGGCTGATAGGAACAGATTTAGGGAGACAGTTCTGGCTAAATGGCAGGAGGAAGAGCTAGATAATGGTAGGGAGTGAGCATCCTGTCCATGAAGGTGTACAAAGGTCTACAACCACCCCAGAGCCAGTGCAGGGGATTTAGACCTCCCGTGGGAGAGCAAGGTTGGAGTGGATACTCTCAAAGTCCTGCCCAACCCTGAGTTGCCAAGCCCATGATCAAGCCTGGAAAATGGATTTCGCTCCTTTATTTGACCTCCATCTTCTTCCTCTAGGAATCACAGAGTTTGCACTTTTGGCTTCTGGTTTCTGGGCAAGCCAGGGGGTGAGAAAGGCCGTTAGACTCAGGAAAGAGAGAGCGTGGAGTCACAAGACCTGGGTTCAAATCCCAACTCTACCCCTTATAGGTGGGACCTGGGGCAAGCCCCTTTATCTCTCTGAGTCTGTATTCTCACTTGTGAAAATGGGCATAATGATGTCTCCTTCAGAGGGAAAGGCGAGGATTAAAGGAAACCATGCAGGTAAAGGTGCTGGTATGGACTTGAAGTAGCACTTAGTAGCGATTAAAAGCACTGATTCAAATCTGGATTGAATCCTGCTCTGGAAACTAGCTGTGCAACCTTGGACAAATCACTTAACCTCGCTGTGCCTCATTTTCTCATTTGTAAAAGGGGAACGAACCATCAGTGTTTTCCCAGGTTGGTCCTGGGTCTCTGTAAAGACCTAATCCCTGGAGTGGAGTGGGATGGGAGCATTTGGCTGTCAGAGGCCACCCTGACTCCACGGCCTAGGGCCTGCCTCCCCCATTCCTCCTGGGCCAGCCTCACCTTCTGCACCACTATGATGGCCTCCTGAGTGTCGCTGTCTGTGGTGACCTTGAACACATGGCCGCCGGTGCCGCTCTCCTCCTTGAGGTGGTAAGTCATGTCCGTGTTCTCGCCCACATCTGAGTCCTCGGCCTTCACGCGACCCACAGCGGTGCCGATGGGGGCCGACTCCTTAATGCTGAACTGGTACATCTCTGTAGGGAATACAACGGTGAGCAGGGACGGGGCAGCTTCTACCAGCTCTAGGGGAGTGGACGGAGTGCCCAGATGGGCTCCAGGGAGGGCAGTGTCTGCAAGGGGCTCCCAGCTTGGCCAGGAAGGCGCTCACAGAGGCGTATCCTCTGCAGAAACGCAGGAGACAGTGCAAAGGGGAAGGTCCTAAATCTGACCCTGGGTTTATTTGCTGATTAATTTGCCTGTAGTTCTTTGGGCCTCAGCTCCCCCATGTGTCCAGTGAGGGTGAGAGAGGATAACCATGGTCAAGGCTAAAGTTCTGGAGTCAGTCCTGGCTGTGTAATCCTGAGCCTTGAATCCTTCATCATAGAATGGGAATAATAATAGTGTCTTCCTAGAAGCATTGTTATCCTGATTAACTTAGATGGTGACGCCTGTAAAATGCTTAGTACAGTGCCTAGCACATGGTAGCTACTCAATAAATGGAACAAACAATTAAAATGGTAGGGCTTTATGCTCATTTTTCTGTTGACATTGATTCCTTCGTTTCTGCTTATTGATTGAGCAGCTATGATGTCCCAGATGCAGTTTTAGGCACTGAAGTTACAGCAACAAGCAAAACAGACCAACATCCCAGTTCTCACAGTGCTTTCCTCTTAATGGAAAGAGAAAGACACAAAACAACCATATCAATAAGGCACGCAGTATGTCCAATGGCGATGGGCACTTTGGAGAAAAATGAAGCCAGGGAAGGGGATGGGAGTGCTGATGAGGGGGTGTGTCAAGTTTTAAATAGGATGGTCGAGAAAGGCCTCGCTGAGAAGATGGCATTTTTGCAAAAGACTGAACCAAGCAGGTATTTGGGAAAGAGCATTTCAGACAGAGAAAGCAGCAGGTGCAAAGGCCCTGAGGTGGGTGCGATGCCTGGCATGTTTGAAGAATGGCAAGATGACCATTGTGGCTACAGGGACGAAGCAGATGGGAAACCAGAAGGAATGAGGCCAGATGGAACACAAACAGCACCCTGCCCTCCTCTCAGAGCCAAGGCTGGGGTGAGTGCCACCTGCTAAATGATGGGCCAGTGCAGATGAAGCAAGGGCTGTGAAGGTAGACATTATCTCTTGGGTCCCCCACACAGGTCTGGATACCCCTCGTGTGGACTGGGCGCCTCTGAGTCATTCTCACACAGAGTTAGGGGGTCTCTCTCTAAGATACAGCTGATCATGCCATTTTCCTGCTTTAATCCCTCGCATAGCTCCCCACTACCCTGGGGATGGAGCTGTACAGGCCCCTTGGCTGACCCTACAAGAAGCTTGCTGTCTGGCTCCTGCTGACATCTGCAGCCTCACCTCCCCTACTTTCCCACCTCAACTCTAGCTTCAGCCAGGCTGAAGTTCTTGTAATTCCTTAAATATGACTTGCTCTGTGTCACCTCCAGGCACCCCCCCTCTGTATTCTCCTCCCTGCCTTTGCCTCCGCAATTCCCACTCTCCCTTTAGTCTCACAGAATGTTACCTGCTCCAGGGAACCTTCCCCGAACTCCAGGTCCTGCTCCTGTGTGCCCAGGGCCCCCAAGCTTATCCCAGTGTAAGGATTACTGCGTTTCCCTATTACTTATTACTCTCTGTTTATTCTCATATTCTCTCTCCCTCCCCCCCCAACCCCCCCCGGAAGACAGGGACCACATCTCTTATCCATCAGGCATTCTCAGTGCCTGGCAGAACACCAGACTATCACATAAAAGAAATGTGTGAGAGACTAGTGAGTGAATGAATGAAAAGCAGCGTGAGTTACTGGTATACACTCCCCAGATTAACACGAATGAAAGAATGTGACAATACCAAGTGCTAGCAAGGACATGGTACAACACACATGTGCACTTCTTCATGGGGGAAGACAGTTTGGCTTTACTTAGTAAAGTTGAAGATGAGCATAGCTCATGAGCCAGCCATTCTGCTCCTCTGTATACACACTCAGAAATGTGTGCAAAATGACACTAGGAAATGTGCAACAACGTTCCAAGCAGTATCCTCCGTAACAACCTCAAATGAAAACATCCCAGATGTCCATCAACAGTAGGACAGTGAAACCATGGACTACTATACAGCAATGAAAATGAATGAATGACAGCTACAAGTAACAACATATTATTTCACAAGCATAATTTTGAGAGGCAAAATAACATGACAGATACTTTGTATGGTATGATTCCATTTATATAAGGTTTAAAGCAGATGAAATGAAACTCTAATGTTAGGGGATGCACACATAGGTGCATTGACCCTAAGGAAAAGTGAGGAGGTGAAGATCACAAGGGCAGATAGATTCTGGTTAATTCTGGAGGAAGAGTGGGGGAGAAGTTATGATCAGGAGAGGGCACGTGGGGGCTTCTGGGGTCCTGATTGGTGGTTACAGGAGTGTTTGCTTTACACTGACATTTTACGCCCTTCTGTTTGTGTGCTATATTTCGCAATAAAGAAAAGCTAAAAGTGAATAAAGAATGAATCAATGAATGAATAAAGAAGAGATTTCCTGGTACCTTTTCTCTTTTCTGTCCCACCCCTTCCAGCTCAGAGCTGGCAGGGAGCCTGGCACAACTGGGCAGAAGACTGGGCGCCCCCCCACCTGATGCTTTGAAGCTTCCCCAGAGGATGGGACTGGGTTGGGTGAGTGGGCGGTGGGCTGGCTTCTGTGCCAGGCTCCCTGGTGACTCTGCCCATCCCACTCCATGTCTGGGCTGAGGCGCTAGGCTGAGATGACGCTGTGCTCTCGGCTAAGGGATTGGATTCCCTTATCTCCTGGGGGTCAGTCCCCTGTGGCGGGGCCTAATGTGAGAGCAGCAGACCTTGAGTAATGACTCGCCAGATAGGAATCAGACCAGCTCCCTGCGGCATTTAGTCTCTGCCAGCCTCTGTGGCTTCCCCGGCATAAAGGCATAGCTCTCGGCCTGAGCCTGGGACAGAAGGGCTGATGGGGAGGTGGCGGACTGGGCCAGATAGCCCCCATCCCCTGCTGTGCCAGGAGAGGCAGAGAGTGAAAAGGCCTCATAATTCGCATAATTCGGCAGCACAGAATCCTGCCCTCCTGGCTCAGAGGAGGAGGGAAAGACCTGTCACTCCAGACTTCAGCTTCTCCAGGCACAATTACGGTGTCCGTTGGCCTGGGTATGGCAGGGCAGCCTCTTTCTAGATCCCTACGTCTGCCCCCACCCCTTTGCAAGCTTGGGCCGGGGCAGGTCGTGCGCAATAATCAGGATAGGGGTCTGTGCAAGGGCTGTGAGGGGCTGGGTGGGTGAACAGATGGGAACTCACTGTTGGCAGGAACCAAGGTGAGGGGTGGGAGGTAATTGTGTTACTTGGATGTATAGAAAAATCAGACAACTTTGGAGCCCTCCTCTGCAGGAAGCCTGATTGGAAGAGGTCTGAGGGTAAGTGGCTGGGTTGGGTAGGTAGACAGACAGACAGATGGGAGTCCTTCTTTTGGTGGGAAGCCAAAAGGGAACTTAGGGTCAGTGGTGGCTTGGATGGGCAAACAGACACACAGATGTTGCCTCCTCTCGGAAGGCCTTACTCACTCTGCGGGAAACGGGGCGGGTTGTCATTAACGTCGGTGACCACGATGGTGACGGTAGTGGAGCCTGAGAGGCCACCCAGCTGGCCTGCCATGTCCGTGGCCTGGATCACCACCTCATAGCGCTCCTGGCTCTCTCGGTCGAGGTCAGGCACAGCTGTCCGGATCACGCCTGTGGGCAAGGGAGAGTGAGGCCCAGGATGCCCACATCAGCTGCCAGCTGACATGGGGATCCCTCCACAGGCAGAGGCTGGCTTATTCTAGTTCAGGAGGCGCGTGCAGAAGACATAGTCATGGCCATAGTACAGGCACAGGGCTCAGTAACCACACACACACACACACACACACACACACACACACACACACGCTCATACAGATATGCTCATAAGCTCACACAGAGAACTCACACTCAGTACTCCACACGCTCACACCCAGTACTCTACCACACATACACATACACATACACACAGCTATCAGATTCATACACACTTTCAAGTACACACACACGCTCACACATATACAGACACACTAACATACACTTACTTTCAAACACACGCTCTCATACACACAAACTTCCAAAAACATACTCTCACACATACAAGCGTACACATACGTATTGACACACTCACACACAACACAAAAACAACAGAATGGACTATTTGGTTTACTAAAAAGAGGTGTAGAGACTAAAACCTGCTACTGTGTGACTCCCCTAGGCAATCCATCCCACTTTTGGGGCCTCAGTTTCCCCATGTGATGGAGAACCCTGGTACTCCCTGAGCAAGCCGGGCCTGTGTCTGATCGCCTGCCAGTGGCACTCGGCCCAGAGCCAGGCATGGAGTAGCAGCTTGGTGAGCATTTAATAAAGTGAACTGGACTCGTCCCCCACTCAGTGGCACTAACTATGGAGTCAGGCTCACCTGTACACATGCACTAGGTATGTCTCATACACTTATGTGCTGCATATATAAGCACATATATGTGGTCACATACACTTATGCACACTAACACACACTCATTCTCACACACACACCTCCACGATTACATCATTCCCCACCCTTGGAGCCCCAGTCCCTGGCCCCTAGCCTGGCTGCAATTCTCTGTCCAGGCACCAGCTAATGGCCGAACAGACAATCCTTCAAGCTGTTAATGGATGCGGGGGTGGGGTGGGGTGGAGGGGTGCAGGAATGGGGTGACTGCAAGATGAATTCTGCTGAGGGGAAGGCTGCGTTTCTTGTCTCTCTGCCAGTGGGAGATGAGGGTGGAGCAGGGAATCGATGAGGCATTCAGAGCCTCCCCCTATGACTCATTCCAACCTGCCAAGCACCAGGTGGTGACAGGTGGTACCCAGGTCCTGAGCACCAGGTGGAGTCATGCACCAGCAGCCCCATGATGTGCCCCATAAAACCCAATCTCTGAGTCCTGATGTCCCCAAGCAGCCTCCAGACTCCAATAAAAGCAATGGAATGGTAGAAGAGTCTGCAGTGTGTGTGTGTGTGTGTGTGTGTGTTTGCATGTGTAGCTAGGGGAGGTGGAAGGCACCTGCTTTTGTGGGACCACATGTATAAATGGTGTATATACTCTATCTAACAAGGATCACACAGACCCTCTATAAGTGGCCTTTGAGACTTCTCCATAGTCCCTCTCCCGACCCCTCTGTCAGAACAGGTCTCCCTGGGGAGAGGGGAGTCTTGGGAGCAGATGAGATTGGGATCAATACCAGATCTGCTATTTTTGGGCCCTGTGACTTAAGCAAATCCCTTTACCTCTCTGAAACTCAGTTTCCTCATCTATAAAATGGAACAACTGCAATACCTCCCTAAGGAACAGGATTTCTCAACATCAACACAATGGACATTTTGGCGGGATAATTCTACCCATTAGATACCGGTAGCAGTAACCTCCCCACCAAACCCAGTTCCAAAAATGTCTTCAGACATTGTCAAATGGCCCTGGGAGACAAATCAGTTAAAATCACTGGTGTGGAGTTTCATCTCATGAGAATTCCACGTGACAACGGCAGTCACTAACACTGATGTGCATGTACTCTGGCACTGCGCTAAGTACCTATTTAATCATCTCAACACCCTATGAGGAAGGTGCTGTGATTATCCCCTTTACAGATGGGGAGATGAAGTCACAGAGAGGCTAAATACTTGCCCAAGGTCTCTCCTGTAGAAAGCACATAGCCAGGACTCAAACAGGCACTCCGGGGGCCTGAGTCTGTGCTCCGAACTGCTCTGCTGGCATGGTGGAAGGAAGCAGGGTCCCCCCCTAGCCTGCCTCGTATCCCCTGCCCCATCCACCACCAGGTACAAGGGCAGAGCCCAGCCCTCTGACAGAGGGATGCCATTTATATGGTCCTGTCTTAGCCCCTGGAATATTCTTGCTCTTCTCAGTCCTAATCAGGCAAGCCATTTTTTTCAATCACACAGCAGGCCCTTCTTGATCTACTCCCCACATCTTGTGCCTCAACAGTGCGATTGTGAGGGGCTCTACTGGGAAGGTGGGCCTGTTGTGTCCCCTGTCACTGGGGGTGGGGTGGAAGGAGGGAAAGAGCAGAAGGGACAAGAGAAGATAAAGGATGAAGGTGACAGCGAGGGAAGAAGAGAGAGAGAGGAAAGAAAAGGGGACCTGGGGAAAGAGATAGAAGCCTAGTGAAAGTCAGGAGGGAAAGAGACAAGAGGAGAGAGACATGCACATGGAGAGGGAGAGAAAGGGAAGGAGGGACACAGGGAGGGAGGGAGACCTACAGAGACAGAAGAAGAGACAAAGGAAGAGGGAAGCAGCAAAGCCAGAGAGAAATCATGCCAGGAAAGACAGTGAGAGAGACAGATCACACAGAGAGAGACTTGGAGAGAAACAAAAAGAAACAGTGAAACAGACATTCTCATAGACAATAGAGAGGCAGAGGGACAGGGAGGGTGAAGAAAGATGAGGGCAGGGAGGAAGAGAGAGGGCAGACGGACAGATGGACAGTGGGGTGGCCACCAGGCCAGAGACAGCAGGGCCCTGAGTGAGCCAGGTGGAAAGGCAGGGAGGGGAGCTGAATAGCTGAGCACCTACTGTGTGCTAAGCTTTGGGCGTGTCACTTTACATCTGGGGTCTCACTGAATGTAGAGAGGTTGAAGATGGGATTTGGGGCTGCTGTGCCTCTATGGGCTTAAGAAAATCCCAGCAACCCCAGCTCTGAGTGGGGCTTGGAGCAGGGGTCCGGTTGAGGTCCACACCTGTGGGTGCAGAGCCATGCTCATGAGGCTGGCCTCCTTGCTCAAGGCCCTGCCACTTCCAGCTCCAGACAAAATGGGGACACTGAACTCTTTTCTTGGAAACTGGTGATTAAGCTCTGAGTGTATGATCAGGAGCCATCCTGGGTGACTGGGAGGTGGGTACCCATGGTGCCTCTAGGCCCTGCCTCAGGGTTACCCTCAGTGGTAGGTTGCTATGGTAACAGCTCCCAATGAACCACACCTCCCAGAATCCAAGCCATGGGTCATCCCCTCCCACACTGACTCTGGCCTGCACCATGCGACTTGCTTTGGCCAATGGAACATCAGCAAGTGTGAAAAAAGCAGAGGCTTGATAAGCCCTGTGCGCTGGGGCTTGTCCTTTTGGAGCCCTGAGACCACCATGCTGTGGAGAGGCCCAGGATAAAAGGCTGTGGAGGGAGAGGCCCAGCCATGCCAGCTGTCCTAGCTGACTTGCCAGCTGACTGTCACCCTGTGAGTGACCCCAGCAAACCCACAGAATTATGACAAATAATAAATCGTTGCTGTTTTAAGCCACCACATTTTGGGGCAGTTTGTTATATAGCAGTAGATAGCTGACAGAGAAATTGAGTTCCTCGGCCGGTTCCTCTCTTGGGCACACTCACGCACTGCATTTAACTGGGGGGTCAGCTGCTGGAAGGTTCAAGATGGCCTCATGCACATGTCTGGCAGTTGACCCTGGCTGTCGGAGGGACCTTCTCTCATCCGTCAGCAGGCTGGGCTGGCTTTCTGATATGGCCGTCTCAGGACCAAGTTCCAGGAGAGAGCTTCACAGTCTCTTAATGCCTAATCTGGGAATTTATAAACATCACTTCTGCTACATCCTATTGGCCAAAGCAGCCATAAGGCCCACCCAGATTTAAGAGGTGGGAGGAATGGCAAAGTCACTTTATTCTGAGGCCAGTTTAGGGATTGGAGGAGCTGACAGCATATTTTTCTATTTATTCCACATGCCTCCTGATGCTGGGAGAAGCATCCTGGAGGCTGGTGCACTTCTGGGGAGCCTGGGGTAAATTCCCAGATCAGTCCATGAAGTTGTTCTTAAAACCTCTGGCTCTGCAAATTCATTCACTCATTTATTAAACCCTTACTGAGGGTTGACTATGTGCAGGGGTTACAGAGTCAGATATGAGGCAGTGCAAAAAGGAGGGACTTACTTAGGAGTCAAGACTTCTTTCCACCTTTTACATGCTATCTGACCTTGGGCAAGTTATTGAGTCTCTCTGAGCCTCAGTTTCCTATTCTGTGAAATGGGGATACCCAGTTGTAGAGCAGCTGGGAGGATGAGAAAAACGAAGCTTCCAGCAGCAGATCTCACATTTTGGAGATGCCTCACTGATCCCCCTCAACTCTTGTGTTGGGTACCCCATAAATAAGTTCCATGAGGGCAAAGATCCATATTGGCCTATCTTATCTATAGGGTCCAGCACATAGTAAATGTTCAATGATCATTTTGATTGTCTGACTTACTCCCGCAGATTCTGTCCCACCTCGCGCAGCCTGGGTTTTGTTGTCTGTTTCTGGCTTCTCTTTTGGAACAAAAGCCCTTAGAAGATGCTCAACAAAGGTTAGTTTTATTCCTTCCCAGGAAAACACACATGTCTGGCCCACTTGAGAATTTTCAGCGAATATCTTGAAGTCTCTGAACGAATCTTTTTATTCTTGCTGGGGTTGTGGTGCATGGGGCTGGTAATTAGAACCTGGCCATGGCTCCCTGCAGCCTTCTCCTCACGCATGGCCCCCAGTTCCAGCTGTTGTCCTCACCATCCCTGCTGTCCCCTCCAAATGCTGCAGAAGGGGCCCTGAAGCCCAAGTGACGCCTCATTAGACCACAAATGCCATCTCTGTCACCCCTTTGGGGGGCTTGCTGGCAGGCCTGGCCTTTAAAACACACACGTTAATTTCTCCTCTGGCACTGGGCCTCGTGGCACCCCACCCCCTCCTGTCCCTCACACCTTCCTCTCAGGCCCGTTCAGGCTCTGCTCCCTGCTATCTGCACAGCAAGAACAGACTGTACCTCGCAGCAGCTGCTAAATATAGACCCGCATCAGCGGAATATTCCTGGCTGGGGAAATAGAGTTGGGGCTGGGAAAGGCACTGAGCGGCTCCTGCGGTGGGGCTAAAGGCAAGGGGAGGAAAAATATGGTTCTTCCTAGGAAATGTCAACAAAGGCTCTTTCAGGCTGAGAAAGTTGAGGGACCCTAGAACAAGGACCCTACTGACACCTTCGCCTGCCTTGCCTCCTCCCTCTGGCTTCTTGGGGACTTACTCTTCCTGCCGTCCCAGGCTCCATGGCTCCCCACTCGCCCCTTTCCCCCAGGCCCGTGCATGTGGGATGCTCTTCCTTGGAACCTGGCCGTCCTCCTCACTCTCTCGGAGTCCGACTCTTCATCTGCCCACCCCTGCCACCTCCCAGACTCAGTCCTGGCCCTTCCCTTAGTTCTCTGTTTTGTCTCTTCCTTTCTTCCTCGCCAAAAGCTGATCAACTCTTCAGGCTTCATCATCACACCATCATCATCTTCTTCTTTTCCTTCATCCCCTTGGTTTCCATTTAGGCATCAAGCTGAGCTCTTCCTGCACTCGCTGCTCCCTTGGCCTGCAAACTCTCTCCTCGATACCCAGTGGCTCCCACCCTCTCGTGGTTCAGTTTTCTGCCCCACTGTCACCTCCCCAGAAAGGCCTGGCCTGAGCTTTAAGTCTCTCCCCTTACCCTGCTTTAGGTTTTCTTCCTGGCACTTATTGCTACTTGACATTCTGTCGTGTGCTTATATGTTTGTTTTCTGCATTCCCGACTTGGATAAAAGCTCCATGAGGGGAGGCTCTTGGACTTGCCTGCTGCCCTATTCCTAGAGCCTAGAATGGAGCCGGGCACAGAGCAGGCCCTCAGCAGAGTTGCCGACTGAATGAATGAACCCTCACAACAATCACGTGAAATGGGTACTATGGCTATTATTATTCCTCCTGTGGACATGGGAAACCAAAGTGTACAGAGCCCCAGCCATTTCTGGAACTCCAAGTCCATATTTCAGACAACCTGCTAGATGTTCTCAATGTTTCTTTCCTCCTCTTCTCTCATCTTAAAGCCAATATGGTTAAAACAAAATTAATTAGCTCTGCACCAGGTCACAGGGCACATTCCCTAATTCCTCAGCTCCTAGATTGTTTTCTTACCCCACAGTCTCCCTTCTGTGTCCCTTCCCATCCCAGGTCCCAAAGTTAATAACCCCTGGATTCCCCCCTCAATCTAGTCCCTTACATTCTCTAGGCCCCCAAGGTTTGCCCTTCTCAGGATCTCACTCTCGGCCCTCAGACTCCTTCCTCAGCACCTCAACTAACCCTCAAAACCAATCCTTCGTTATCTCTGTCCCCCTAACTAGATGAAGCAGGTTAAAGAGTCTGGGCAGATGCCGAGAAGGGCAAAGGCTTTGGGTTTTTTCCTTCGGGGCTCTCTTCTGGGCACCCCAGGCTCCTGGGTCTCCCTGAATTCAATCACTGCCTCCGAGCCATGCTATACAGCTGCAGCCCGAGGGATCTTGTTAAAATGAAAACCTGAGCATGTCACTTCCCTGCTTCGAAGTCATCAATGAACCTACAGTATTGGTGAGGAGGAGGGGAACCGAGCTCCCTTGCATGTGGCTCTCAGGAGTGCAATCTGGTACATGTTAGCATTCTCTATCCAGATCCCAAATAAATGCACATGCTCTTTGACCCAGGCTTTCAACTTCCCCAAAATTATCCTGCAATATATCCACACACGCACAAAATGATATATGTATTGGGTTGTTCAGTGCAGTATCATTCGTTGTAGCAAAAGATTGGAAAGAGCGTAAGTGTCTATCAATAGGGGACTGGGGAAACAAAGTTTTGTGTATCCACACCAGCTGTTGAATAAAAGAATGAGAAAGCTCTTTATGTACTGATATGAAATAATCTTTAAGATGTATTGGTAAGCAAAAAAGGCAAGCAGTGGGATAGAGTGTTATAGCTACCATTTGTGTAAAAAAAATAAAACAAATCCATGTACTTATTTTCTTGTACATGTATAGAGTAGCTCTAGAAAGATACACAAGAAAATGATATTGGTTGCCTTGGAGACACAGACTGGGTGGCTGGGGGACTGGAAGGGGTAAAGAATTTCCACTAAATACCCGTATAGACTTTTTGAATTTTGAACCTTGGAATATATTTTCTATTTAAACAATAACTTAGTTTTCAAATGAATTTTTCCAAGATCTTGTAGGATATACACACCGAGTGGCTTTCTTTGGGTCTGTAATTACTAGGGGTGGGGGTAGGAAGCTTTCTTTCTTTCTTTCTTTCTTTCTTTCTTTCTTTCTTTCTTTCTTTCTTTCTTTCTTTCTTTCTTTCTCTTTCAACATTTCTTTAATGTTTGAATGTTCTCTAAAATGTACCAGCTTTGCAAAGAGAAAAAAATAATAAAGATATGTGTAGGAAAATACAATTATAACTGTGCTTATAGTCTGGGCTACTCAAACCCTTTCCAAACCAAACCAAACCAAAACCAAAACCAAAAATGCAAATCCACCAAATACTCCTTCCCTCTCCATTGCCCTGAGAATAAAATCCAGGCTCTCCAACCTGACTTACACTGGGCACCTCAGGCCCCTGCCAGCCTCTCCAATCCTGAGTTGCTTACAATTCCGCTCATGCCTCAGGCTGTTCTCTTCCTCAGAGGTTTGCTTGCACCATGCCCTCTGCCTGGAATGCCCTTCTCTGAATCTCCGTCTGGCCAAGACCTTCTTATCCTTTGGAGATGCTGCTACCGCCTCCAAGAACCTTGCATCTTAAATCTTAATTGCCCATGCATATGCCTGTGCCCCTGCCCGGACGGACTATGAGCCCCACCATAGCATTTGTCCCCTCCTTTCTCAGGGTCAGCGAGAGCACCAACCCTAGAATTGGCAGCCACTCCCAGCTGTGCAACCTCCAATGAGCGCCTCACTTCTCTGAGCCTTCTGTCCTCCCTGCCACTCTTGCAGGCCCCTCAGAGATGTACCCAGGTTCTAACCTCAGAGGGAAGGCGGGCACTGTGGGTGGGTGCTGCACTGCTGTTTGATGGTGTTGGAGGAGGGTAAAGTCCTTTCAGGGCGCCCACAGTGGCTGCCTTCTGACTGCTTTTCTGCCAGTCTTACAGGTGCCCCCCACCCTTCTTTCCTGTTTCTCAGTCCTCCCCTCTGGCTGCCCCTCCCTCTCTTCGACCCTTGCTTGGGCTGGGAAGGAAGGAGGGGGCAAGATGCTTCTGCGTCCTCTGTCTTAGCCCTCAGCGCCCTATGGTTAGAAGGCTAGAAGGCTGGCAGCAGACTGCCCTCGGCCCCT